GAAAGTCTTAGCTACAGTTTTTGCTGTTGACTGACCCAACAGGGTACTGTGATTATACAGCTACGTGAATTGAATTAATGGAGTATTCATTTTGAAATATTATGATAGCAATTCGGTGCTTTGCAAGCATATTTTCGTAAATACCTATTGGAAGTTCCAATTTTATCTTATTTTAAAACGATAGGACTTCAATGATTTTGCACACAATGTATCAAGTATTATTGATGACTTTGAAATGAAATGAAATTAAATTATACCTACTATTAAATATTAAACGCTATTAGTATAACAATATTCCTAATATTTTACCATTTATAACTAAAAAATGGAACGGTAAATGACTCGCGGCCACACATTTTTTTACAATTTACGAGGCTTACGTGTGGACTCCATTTTTCTATACTCGGTGGCATTGTAGCCATTAATTTATGTTAAATGCTGGCAGTATTACCCGCCGCTCGTGTAAACATAATGCCGTCCGATGCATTGAGGATAAAATTTAAATGTAAATTTGTACTTTTTGCCCATTCACTCAGCTTTTTGTAATGTTATGTACATTTTGAGTTTCAAGGTTGAATTTGTATGGATCGCTGTGAAGAGGGTTTCATTTAGGCCTGAATGCTGAATTATATCTGTGAGCGTGTTACAAATATGTATGTACATACATACATATGTGCGTTGAATTAGCGTCGTGATCTGACAAAATGATATAAATTAGCAGACTTTTTTTATTTCTATCAACTCTATTGGACTGCTTGATTGCTACCTAGGAGTTTGATTCCTGGCATAGTGCGCACGCATTTTTTTATTAAATACATAGAGTTTATGTATTTTCTTTAACTTTAAACCGTCATAACCTAATTCCACCAAAATACTAATTTACGATTCAATCTGCATCTTGGCGCAGTCTGCTAGCGACTGGTGAAATACATTCCTATATTGTTTTGTATATTTGAACGTATTCAATAGAGTATAGTTATCCGTTACAATAGGAAATAGAACAGAGCGCAGTTTTATACTGCTCTCGGGGCGATAAAATGTATCAATGGCGACAATTCTTCGGCAAACATCGATAAATTCGGTTCAACGTGTACACTATCCTAGCTGGTAATATTGACACCGTTTGCCGCAATATCTTCTGTACATTTCTCCATTTCTGAGAATAAGTTAACTGTTTACGATATTGTTTTGTTGTCGCTAATGTTTCAGTAGTCATATTTCAATTGCTTATTTATTGTATGTTTTTTTCTAACGTAGAGATTTATTGCCATTTGTATGCCTTTTTCGGAGCTGTAAATAGTCATAAAGGTCGTATTAAGTTGACTCCTTTTGTGTTGATGGATTCTCAACAGTAATGTAAAGTTTATGTAGAGACTTATTGACTGAAATAAATCACTGAACTTAATGTTACTGAATTCTGATCAACTTTTGAGTCTGCGATGAAATTTATATGAGTAACTCAGTGCATTGAATGTACACAAATTACCGTAGACCAACAATTTACGTAGAACGTTCGTTACGTGTGTACGTGAGTTAGATTTACGATGGTTCGACAGGTTTGAAAGATTTTGTGATACCAAAGTTATTCGAGCTCGTCTGTGGGACACGTTTGCATCATCAAATAAGTTTGCTTTGTCCTCGTGGCAGAACAAGGGCCCTTCAGCGACGCCACACGGCTTCGCACTTCCGTACGTGATCATTACGCGGATGGTACTTCCATTCAATTTACTAAGCAAATGAAATCTTATATCATTGTGATATCATTTGCTATACTAACCGTATAGAGCTTTTATATAAAATCCTAATTATCCCGTTTCTACATATCAGGCAATACGAATGAAAATATAAATATTATTTTCGGGGATAACGTGTATAAACGTTCCCTTTTTACGAGGTTGAAATTATAACTCGTAGGTTTTATTGCGCAATCAAATTGTAAATAAGATTCAAAGAGGCCTTTCATAGTAAGAGAGGACAATATTGAAGATAATAAAAACATAACGCATATAAAAATATAAATTGCGTAGCACTCGTAGCGCTCGTAGCGTTCGTAGCAGGTGCTACGAAGCGTGAACACGGGGGTTATTATCAGCGCGCAGTCTCCGCCCCAAAAACCCTTTTCCTCTTAGCCGTCTAACCGGAAACCGGAAAACCCGGATTCAATGGGTTATCGTTGAAAATTATGATTTGGAAAGCGTGTGAGTTTTACACCTCGTATTTACCATTGGAGCGGCCCACTAACATAAAAACGATATACTTTACTTGGATTGTTGCTGATGGATTGCTATGGATTTTCCTTGTTTATTGTAGATTGGAGTAATACCTTGCTTAAGAAAATACATACAGAGGTCTTTTCACGATTGAAAAAAGGATTGGATCTGTTTATGTAATACATATGTACAAAACAGTTAATTCACCAGATTGATATAATTAGAGCAAACAAAATCTTAATATGTCCACAATGAGCCGGGGGCATGAACACAAAATGTGTATATAACTGGCATTCTGTTAACACGGAGGAACGTGGGCCAACCGGTGACCGGTAGAAAGAGTAAACAACGTAAACACACAAGTTATAGGGGGCATGCACGGCGGCGATTCTCTCCGTCTCGCTACTGAGCGCCGAGCACCGAGCACCACGTCGCGCCATTTTGTTTCGGCTAATTAACGTAGGATTGTCACAGTCCCTCGGGGACCTTGTTAATGTACATATCTGTTGTACACAACGCGACGTCTAGCTCGGGTTAAATTAATATTGTTGGCAGAATTTTTACAATATATTTGGAAGGATGTTTGAAGATAATGAAAGGTTATATAACTACAAGGCATTTTTGTGTTATAAATGAATTTTACTATCAATTGTGGCTTTTAAATTTAAATTTTGGCGGCATATTTACAGCTGTAAACTCCTCGTACAGTGGCCAAAAAAGACCTTTAAGTAGACAAGGTACTAGTTTTCCGGGTAAGTTTTTATAGATGATAAAAATTGTGGTTTACGGTAATATCGTTGAATTTCACATAAAATTAAGACGAAATAGGTACTTCAAACATGTAATAGAGAATTCCGTGAAACCTTTGAGTACTCGTTTACAAGTACCTACTTAAGTAACTTACATGTGATATCGAATTAAATACTAATAGAAAAATACGAAACAGGCGTGTATCAGTTGTTTCAACTGCCTGCCTGAGTTAAATAAGCAATAACTTCTATATCCTTAGGCATTAGCACTTAAGTAGACTGTTTGAAATTCTTGAAATAAAATATTTGAATAACTTTCAGGAATATAAAGCCTCTTTCACTATTGTTCACCACTTTCTATGCTTTTATTTTTCGGCGACGTAAAGTGTTAAACAGATATTTAAAGTTATAAGAAGGAAAAATACTGTGACGTCCGACAGTTGTGGCTCCAACATGATATACGCCCGTACATTACATTTTATAAATTCAGCAAGATTTGTGCTATAACAACTTTAAGTGGGAGTGTAAAACATTTTTTCCCTTTTACCACAAAACGTGATCACAGTAATATAACTTTTATTCTTCGTATAAAAATTCTTAGCTTGATATACGACGTAGTAAATCATTCCTTTTAGAGTAATAAGTCTTCAGACGACCACACTGGCACTGGTTTGATGCAATGTTTATAGACGAGGCTACGGATAACAAGGCCATGTGTGGGCTTCGTTCATACGAAATTAAATTTCCCTTTAGAGAATTGATAGATGCCTTATTTTACACGCTAAATAACAATGGGCCTCCTCAACTATGGCCACAATAAAGCCATGACGCCGCATCAGTTACTCTCTAAACACATAAAGTGCTGGCAAGTTCCACCGACAATATAAGTAACACTTAACACATTGAACGTCGAGGGCGTGCGGGGCCTCACAGGCAGTTACACAATTTCTTCATTGCTCTTTTGGGGGTAGAAATGACCGCATTACCTATACGTATTTATACATATAATAGAGCAGCCGTCACATCGAACTCTTCTTTTGTGCAGGGTTTCTAAGGAGATCCTTGTGAAGGATGTTGAGTTTTCTACGGTAAAGTTACTTTTTTAATTAGTTAGTGGAACTTTATACTACAGGTTCAACGTCCATATTGGATTTCGATCTTCTGTTGTTCCGAATTCAGTCTTCGTTATTAGAAAATTATCACTTATTGCCTTCTGTTGCACGAATAAAAGTAAATAAGAGTTATTTTCGGATCAAAGGATCAAATTATTACAAAGACCCATTCCTTACACATAAGTTTACGATAACAAAGGACATTGATTCCTACCAACAACAGGATAAAATATCAGAAGTCCATAAAAGTAACATTATAGAAACTTTACGACTACCGTAACAAATAAGAATTGCAATAGGAAATACAATAATCTTTTTGTGTGTAATATAATATAAAAAACGCTTTACGTTGGTGACAAAGCAATATTTTGATAGGTATTTTGGTTTACTATCGACGGGTCATATAACTGCTGGTGAGGTTACTGCGCATCGCTCGGGTCGTATAAATGTTATAAAATGGTCGTGAACTAACTTTGACTAGTTTACCTGCCTCCTATCTATTTTATTTCAGATTTTACGTCCAACACCTGTATTATTCATTATCTGTTTGATACCTTGCCAGTGGTTATGCCATTTTACTTTATATGGTGTCCGATGAAAATGATATAATTTATGATTTCAACGTTTATGTTATATGGAAGTTTACACATGGATTCACAGTGGGTTTAAATAAATGCTGTTCTCGAAGAGCGTAGGTTTATGAAACAATAACAGACTCCTATACTCATCCACTATGTTAATTGAACAGTACCTTATCATTATTGAATTATCACTTTTCTTGTTTTTTTATACATTGTCACAATAAAGGCTTTTATTTATGCCTAAATCACATACATAAATTTACTCAGTACGGGGTATAATCTAAACTAAACATGGCACTAAATAACAACACATATGTTAATTAAACAATTTATTTATTTAAACTCGGCAATGTAAACTTACAAAATATAGTACAGACAGTGAACAGAGCAACATATTTGGCACATGTTGAGCCAACCGATCGTATCAGACACCATTTACAAGTATCATGCACGGTATCACACAGAGTATCAAACGACACCGAGTGATAATGCCACGCATGTGACCGGTTCGTTAATTTTCATCGTTATTCCAATTTGCATCGTTATTCTAAGTTTACATGCATTAAATGTATAATTATTATCATTTAAATTTTCCACGGGAGTGAATTTGTGTTTCCCGTCGTCATACTCGTAGCAATAAACAAATTATGAGACTTACTTATCCGTTGTAAATTTTCCTAATTATTAAACCTACTTTGGCAGTACCACTGTATCGTATTTACAATTAATTTAACTGGAAATATTAACATTCTCTCATTCTATTTTAATGAAATGTCACTTTATTCTAATCGATTCAAAGATATAAAACGTCGATTATTAGATATCTACAGATTTGGTAACACATAATTTATCTCAAATCGATACCAAGTTAAACATGAACAAATAATTATTTTCACCAGTCGTGCCACCGTGTGCATATTAATTACACGCGTGGACAAGAATATTCCAAAATTTGGCACGTGTATCTTTGGCAAGAGGTTGTACTTATTACAAATAAATACTTATTGATTTTCAAAACAATATAAAAATTGTATAACATCGCTCGCTTAAATTACAACAGTACTTAGCCTATACAAATTAGATATGAATTTATTTACAATAATATATCGTAAACATCTACGCATCGAGTCGAAACGAATCCAACTAATTTGAACATTCACAGCGGGCTATGGGTTCAGTGGAGTCGTGTCGGGAGCAGCGAGGGTTTATTGGAGCGTCCGCCGCGCGGTGCCTACACGTCGCTGGGGGGCGAGGCGGCGGGCTCCGGCCGCTAGTGCAGCTGACTCTTGGTACTGAACCCGTAGTGCAGGTAGGGCGAGCCCGCGCCGTCACGAGCCCCGCCCGGCCCGCCGCCGCCGCCGCCAGCGCCGCCGCCCGGGCACTTCAGCGCCGACCGCAGCTCCGATGCCATCTCCGAGCATAGTGAGGCCTGTACACGAAACATCTCCGTGAACCATGCCCACACATTCACCAAACTAATGTTTATCAGAAAAACATACCTCTTCCTTCTGTGATTTAGACAGCCGCAGTAAAAAATAGTATAATTAATTAATTATTGAGTAACTTAAGAGGCATAGCACATTCCATACTTCAAATTACTTTTAAACTCGAAATTACTTGAAATATAAGAGATGTTTATATTTTAAGTAATTAATAAACTTCAAGACTCCAATATTAGAACAAGGTGCCCGAGCTAAGAAAATAAATACAAGGTTATCCACACATTTTGTTCACTAATTACAGTCTGGCTAGCTTCTACTTAACTAATATAATAAAACTCAGTGAAAAATGTTACCTACGTTATTTTAAAAATAAACCTAGAACAAAACGAAAAACGTTATTAATCGGCGAAAATAAATAAAATAAATTAAAACGAACAACAATTACGAAGCTATTTTACATTTATCTGAAATTAAATTTAAAAATTGAATTACTGCTGAGCGAGTGTTAATTAATGTCGTTGTTGACCGGAAAAATGTGAGCTGTTGGCAATTTTCCGGAGATGATAAATTATATGCATGGTCGCGTGGAACATATGGCTTCCGATTGAACCAGATTAAAGACATAGCATATTAATAACCAAAGAGATATAGAAAAAACTCTGTGGATTATCAAATTTTTACGAATATCCCGAGATTCAGAAGAAATATTAGTGAGTTATTAAGACAATTACTCACTCGTTCGTCAACGGCAACTTTGCGCGACTTCCAGACGAATTCGCAGACGGCGATGACGCACGCGACGCCCATCCCACCCATTAGTACGACGAACACTCCGCCGACGTTTGCCAACCCTAGCTCGTTCGCTGTTGATGACGATTTCGATGTCTCGTCCTGTGTTATCAAAAATGCGATACAACGTAAAAGGTAAGGAGTTAGTGACCGTAATATCCTTAACGTATTGCGTTACTTAAAAAAGGGTCATACGTCGATCTAGAAGGATAATATTTATTTACATTATTTTATTTATCTATACTATTTATACATATATTCCTTTAGATTTTATTGCGACATATATTTGATCCGCGGATATTGGCTTTGTGTTATTTCATAAGGATTGAAACGTTATTAAGCGTACGTGACACATTTTTGCCCTTTTATATCCCCTAAAATATCATTTAACCGTTTAGTGCAAACATGGGAAATACAAGGAAAATTATTCGAGTTAAGTATTTACATGCTGTGAAAGGTTTTAATGAAAATTCTTCCTTTGAGGCTACTTCCACTGTTTTCAATACGATGCCGCGATGCCTCGTTGAGGGAAGCCAAAAATAAGAGCTGCTTTAAAGTTATTTCAGCTCGTAATTTTGGTGAAATTAAATTTTAGTAAATTAAGCTACGTATTTATCAGTGATTTGAAAAAAATCAGCTTACTGTACAATTTTATTAATATCCGTTCAAGTAAGCATGTATTTTTCAATATATATATATATTATGGTTGCTTGAACATTTAGTTGAAGTAACAAGAATTCTGAATTGTCGTTTAACATTAAAGCACCGCGGAGCGCAACCCTACGAGTACTGCGAGTAGCTAACGACAACGTTTTCCCTTTACTTACCCTACAAGACCCTCCGCCACGTTTCTCTTTCCACCATTTTGTTTTCAGAATGTGCAATTTTCCTTCCTCCTGCAGTTTGAGAACAGCCCCGCTTATGGCCGTACGGTATGGCGAGTCTAAAACAATTCGAGTGTTCAAGTAATATACTCTTGTGAAAGTTGGCTGTAGGAATTTTAAAGATACGTAAACTTTATTACTATTCATTTATTAGAGTTTCAGTTAATTATTAAAAATGCGGGAAAACATAGCAAATAGAAAATAGTTGTTGTTAAAACGCAAACATTCCAACTCAATATAAAACTCTTTCGCACATGTCGACGAACTACGTTCATAAAAGTTATATTGGCAACTACGTATTTTGCAGTTACAAAACTTTTCTGATTATTTCAACCGTAAGCATAAATATGGGCCATAGTTACTGCAAATTAATGAAATTACAACTTTTTCCGTTATGTTACAGGAATTAATTGAGCTTTGTTATTTACGTCTGAAGTCAAACTTTATTATGAACTAAGTATCTTGTGTAAGAAAGGAAAATGGAATAAGTTTGCTTACTTGGTGGCATGGCGATCCCGTATCCCTTTGAGTCCAGCATACCCCCCACTTGCGTGAGGTCACAATTCCTTTCCACAACATATTCAATAGTGGTTGACTCCATAAGGTAAGCATATGCGCCTTTTCCTCGAACCACTCTCTCTTCTCCCTCCTTGTTACTGGTCGCAAATACCGACGGTCGAGCAGATTCCATGAAAGACCACATTCGTTGGTATGTGGAGAAGTTTGAGTCCTGTTTATTAGGATTAATATTTGTATTCACACAAAATACGTAAAGAATCGTATTCAAATTCAATCTGTGTATTATATTTTTAAGACGTTTATTCAAATCTTGAACCGTTTCTGAGTTTGACGTCCTGTAGTACGTATTCATAAAGTCAATATGTCAACTTTGTCAAATAAAACACGGCCCACGAGAACACATCATAAATCCCAACAGAATTGAGAAACGTTTCATATTTATAAGGTACTTGTGCCGAGCCTAAATTCATAAAATAAGAAAGAGTCTTTAATGCGAAACATTTATTGTAAGCTACAAAAACGCCTTATTTTTACTGCCGAATAACGTCACTTTATTTTGAAACACCTTTCCGACAAGTATCAGGTTTATTTCAAGACTCAGTTTAAATGAAAAGGGGAAAGTGTTTCTCGGTAAATTTGAGGTTTTCAAATCCACCAAACTTAAATTAAGGGAATTAGAATTCGTTTCGTTAAGCTGTCACCACAGTCTGATAGAAATCGAGGAGGCTAATGAAGTGGTTTACATTTTGGAGAAATTGCTCTACTAAGTTGCTAAAATATTATTTGTATTTAAATAATGTGTGTGTTCAAATATTGATAATTTACGGAATAAAAAATGTATTGTAGTGAGATATTGAATAACGAGGAGTATCTGTGCCAACAAGCAACTAGGCGTTTTCAACATTATTATTTTGGCAATTTGGCACCTACTCACCCTGAAAAATGCAGCAGTGGAGCCTCCCTTTAGTGCGCCGTACTTAATCTTGGTCTGTTTGGCGAGATCTTCAGCACTCTCAATTGGTGAGTCCATTCGCTCTACAGTGAGGAACGCGGCGAGGTTGGCGGTGTACGACGATATCATGATCAAAGTGAAGAACCACCACATTCCCGCCACCATGCGAGTCGATACCGCTCTGGGGCAAACAATAGTCATTAAAATATCAGCAACAATAAAACTAGCAACTACCGAGCTTTCTTAAAATAGCTAATAGTCCGCGCACAGTCTCAAACATCGTAGAATGGAATTATTTTCTTTCGTTTCAGAGAAGATTTTAATGTATGTCGATATTAATGAACTTGCGTCGGTCTGTAAGTGAATGTGATACATCCACAATTATAATGTGTGGCCTGTGGGCCCTTCACTGAAACTGTGGTTATGAAATAATGAATTCTCAGTGCGTGTTGTGTTTCAGTGCAGTTTCAATATTTGTTACTTTTTGTAACATTTAAGTATAGGTGTATAAATACTATATTCGATATGTGTATTTCTAAATTAGACTGGACATTCATTTCGCATCGATACAATTTGACATTCCTAAGACAATGCGAGATCAACATCCTAGTACAGTATGTCTAACAAACTTTGATGCAGCAAGCTGTGGATACTGCACAAGCAAGTCTCGGGTGCGATATCAAAACGTTGTCGGTACTAGTTGTTTATTTAGCTACTAAATCAACTGCAAGTATTCAGCTAAGTACTGTGAAATGGAAACCAAGGCTAGTCGAAATAGCCGACACGTCTCTATTTAAATTGGATACTCTAGGCGACTACCGATGCTTGAAATTCACAAAGGGCTGTGGTCGCTTTGAAACTAATTAGTAAAAGGGAGGTCTTTATCCAAGTTCTGCGACTGAAGGCTACATTTCCGTTTTGTAACTAACGCGAGATAACTTTCGAGTCAATTTCACCCATTCGCTTATTATATTTGAATGCATTAACCGTTGACCATAGGTCCGATTTAAATTATTCGATTAATTTATCGGGTCTTGTATATGAGGACTGTAGCGGAATTGTAGCCATCAGAGGCATAAGGGACTTACTTCGGCGCGATATCCGAACCTTGCTGCATCAAGGAGCCGATAGTGAACCACAGCGAGTTCAAGAGAGTGAACTGATTCTCCAGCACCGGCGGCTCGTCTAGGCAGTTCCTGGGGGAGTCCCACTCGTACGGGCTGAACCTGCGCCCAAATACTGCCTGTCAGTCACTTACTACGGATCGTATCACCGTTAGCCAACTTACTCTTAAGAAATGTTCACCATCCGGAGAAATTTCGCTGAACAAAATGCTGCCAAACATTAATTTACTTTGAAAAAGTTTTTGTTGTTTGATAAAATACGTTTAATGGAAAAACTCAAACGATCAACGTATTATTAAAAAAAAGCTTTGCGTGGGCTTTAATTAATTACCTTGTGGTAACCGCAGTCATTCGGGTCTGCGTTGTTATGTGTATACAACCATGACGGTATACATTCCGTATGTAAATTGATTCTACCAGAGACAAAAAAAGGTTTTATATTTCAGCGGAACGTTTCCGGAATAATTGAAATTCACTTGCGAGTAAGTTGGCGAATGATTGAACAACCCCTGTTTTATGTTCATCTTGTGGACTTCGCTGAGTTCACTATTTTATATCACCAGAAATGAAACGCGTGTTTAGAATGCGAACCAAGTTTTATTAGTAAGTAGGTATAAGTATCCACTTTTTATGACGTTTAAAGCAAAAACATGCTTAATTTCATTTCCGGTAAGGAACTGCTCGTTGGCAATCTAATAAAAATTAATGTTAGGGGTCTTGCTAAATTATCTTACTTGGGCAAAAAATCACAACTTTGCTGCATAAGAGATCCGATGGCAAACCATAAACAGTTTGCTAGAGAGAAAATATTTTCCATTTTCTCACCATCAGGAGTGTGCGTTGGATGCCATTCGTATGGAGTGAACCTAGTGAACAAATACATTTAGCAACCTAATTACATTCGGCACTTTTCCAATTGAAGCAGACGATGTTTCAACAGAGATATGACTGTACTCGAGTTGGCGCCATCTCCATCGCTATATGAACAAGTATTATGTGTGCGATAAATGTAACACAATACTTTATAAAATTCATTTTTTCCAGAACTCAAAGTATTCAAATCAATTATGTAGGTATATTATATGTAGATACTGCAATGCCAATATAAATAAAAAAACGTAAATGCAAGTTGTGAGTCAGTACACAATTGTTGTCATGAAGCTACACCATGTGTCTACATATACGCACCTTGCCAATATAAAGAGCAGAACGGATACGCCGAGATATGCGGTAGCCATATAAATCCACACGTCGAGGGAGAGCGGTGATAGGAACGAGAACAAGTTCGGCGGTTGCTTAATGGGCTTGCGGTAAAGCACGGAAATGCCGAGATTCATGAACGGCATTGTGAAGTCAACCACTTGCTCCCTGTACAAACGAATATAATACAGCGAATGGTTTAAATACAATGCTCTTCAGAGCTACACAAAAGGATTTCGGCTGAATGGCTAGGGAACAAACAATATTATTTTGCCTTTCTAAAATAGCTTCGTACGTAGGTATTTTTGGAAATAGAACAATTACAAACCCTAGTGGTGTTATTGAGGTAGATAAGAATTGATATAATCGTGTGTACCTGTCGTATGTAATGGTTAGATCAGCGATGGCGAGGTCGGCTCGCTGCTCCAACAATTCCCTTATCATGCCGTCCCACTCTTTAGTCTCACGGTTGTAGGACCCGTATCGACCGTCAGGCGCCAGCTTGAATGTATAATTGAAGCCCAGAATTTTAGATATCTCGTGAATTAGATCAATGGCGTAACCCTCGAACTGTGCGTTGCCCGTTAGCTTCTCGCTGGCCTCTCTCCTCATACAATATGGCGAGCTCTAGGGATTAAGAGAACAGATTACATATGTAAATGTGTTAAAAAAGAATTACTACATGAGTAAACAGAGTTTACATACTCGGGGAATACACGTGAAATTAATACGTAAGTAGCGTACATTTAGAAATGCTCGAGTGATTTTTTTATTTAAATACAGGTTTCTGTCTTCTGTGTTTCTGTTTAGAGCTTTGTATTGTATGTATCAAGGTATGAATACGGATATGTCTCACATGAATATTTTCTCTCAGGGAATATATTTTTACTGTGTGCCAGTGTACATAAATCCCCTTTTCGCTTCTCGAGCGAATACTCATACCTATACGCGATACGCTAATTTTGCTTTTGTGGGCCGCGGGAGGGCCGTAATATGTTTCCACTAGATTAATGCCTATATCTTGAATGTTATTTATTGCTTACCAGAATGGTTGTTACGATGAGCGTCTTGTTCTGAAGTATTTCCACTATCTGCTTTTGGTTTTCGCCGTAAGATCTCGTGTAATTCACACCTTCTGAAGAGTTCCAAGTTCCAGCCTTTTGCAGTCCGTCCCTCGTTAATTCAATTATATCTAGAGTGAAATCGCTTCTGAATCCTTGATGATCAAACTTTATCACTCCGGTTAAGCCTTTCATTTCGACCTGTTATTGAGTTAAGTATTGTGCAAGTTATTTTGTTTATCAAGTTCCGAGATGTATTTAAGTTATATGGACAAAGTTTTGGGTCAAATGTATCTACGTTAAAGTTTTGGTAAAGTCGTTGTCCTCGTTTATGTGAAATTTGATTATTGTTAATTGAAAACTGATTCAATCACACAAGAAATTGAAATCACATTTAGTTAAGACTTTATATCGTTTCTGAGAATGACAATCGCGGAGATTACGCTCAATAACATTATTGATTTGGCAATATTATTCCGATTAATTTAGTCTCGGATTATTATAATTCCTTGTGTTTTGAACATCAAAGGATATATTGTGTTTCAAAAAGAATTTTCAAGCTAATTAGAATACAAAGTCCTGATAAGAAGCATATTTTAGTTAACTACGAGTGTAGCGATATCCGTAGAGATTGACATAAAAAGCTAAATCTCGGAGTGCTTAAGCTGAACATAGCTGTAGCAGTTAATCCGTCAAGTCTCACGTTCCAGCAGTTAATCCCACTATGTTGGTCGCAGCTTTGTTCAATGACCACTAAACCTCTCTTTTTATTGCGAGACTTTAGTACACTTTGAACGAAAACCTTAGCACATTTGTTCATGGATTTAAATGCTAAATCAACATTTTCGTGTAAGTCAGAGAAGGGACGGTAAAGATAATATTGCTTTAAAATATTTCGTGCAGTGAACTATATACATATAGGTATGATACGCATATATTAATTCTTTAGTCTGTCTTTTATAAAAGCTTCGCGATAACAAGAGGAGATCATGATTACGATTCCGTTAGGGTTTTTTTAAGATTTACATAAGACATACGAGAGAATGAGCAGTATGTCCCACAGTTATAGTGATGAAACCACAATTTTAGTCTTTTTAACATAAGAGTATAAAACCAGACTGCTGGTCCTAATGTGGTTTAAATTTCGGAAAGCAGGAGTCCTAATAACATTTGCCCAACTGGGGAAGTGGATTCAAAACTTGGTACAATATACTGTTTAAATTTTAAGGATGCAAGTGTAATGAAAGTAACTTACGATTTTCATGTAATTGATGAGGCTGTACCCATGGGGCCACGTGTCTTCAGCCTCGCAGGAGAGTGGCCTTACGTCTATTTGTTGTGACGTGTCAAGATCGTGCAGAGCCTTCGCGAATAGATGTACTGCATCGTACATTAAAGCCGTTTCCGTCTGCATACCCAGAAATAGTTAAGTATGGAATAAATCAAGAAGAAAAGATAAATTCAAAAGCAAAGTTAAAGCGAAAATTATGTAAACAAAGATGATAAACAATCAAGATACATTGTGACCTTTTAGCGAAAACAATTTATAAAGAAAACATCCCAGAAAGGTTTTGCTGTTATGTTAAGCGCGTAGACCTAAAATATGTGCATAATTTTAATGTTCTCACCTTTATAAAGGTCATGTTTTCCTGCAAACAAACAATTATTTTTAACACAGCTCCATTGTTACTCGTAGAAATAATTTTATTGTTGCCCTACATACCTTAGCCGTCGTATGTCCCAATTGGAGTTTACGTCCTTTTCGGGCTTCATCGTAAACCCAATCCCTTACGACTCTTTGGACATCAGCACGTTCAGGGTCAAGTAATCTTAAAGCTGTAATATTTGTGCCACCGTATTTGAATTCTTCTAAATCTACGCTGTGAAGGTCCTGTAGAAAATTCAAAGTTTCAAAAAGGATCTGTGTATTTTTATGTATGTAAATATTTTCTAAAAACATACCAGGGACGTTATTAAATAACTATGATAGTCAGACATCATTCCTATTTGCTGTGCTTGTTGAAGTACGTCTCGTATCCTCTCTGTGGCACAATCTAATACAATATGCGACTCTGCTGAATTCTTTATTTGCTTCAAAAGTGGCCTGCAAAGGACATTGAGCTTTAGTACAGAGGACTAAGTATGAAAATTGTGTGTGAATTCAGGCCGTACTTACCTGTAATCATGAGAATCTGGCAGTTGCCTCACAGCAACAGGCAGTTCCGACGGACCGTGAGCTTTGAGCAACTCTTGAAGACGAACTAAGCCGTCACTGTTCTCGTAAACTATTGTAAACGACCGCCATCCCCAAGCTCTCACTAAATCTACGTAAGCCTAGAAATATAATTATCGTTAGTTTTAGTCACTAATCAATTCTGAAAATTAGTGTAACACCAAAAGCCGTTATACATTTCAATTTCGATATTGCATTCATGATTTGTATTATGGTTGATAACAATTGGGTATTAAATTAAAGCCAATGGCTCTGTAGTGTGTGTGACACCTCGCCCTATAAGTAAGTAGTGTAAGTTAGTTATTAGACACTCAATTAAAGATATTCCTAACAGTAACACGTCTCCCTCATTGCTCCTCATTGCATGGCGACCCTGCCAGTGCTGCCACGCGGGCAGCGCTGTGCACGAGTACAATGTTGAATATTTGCAATTTGGTCTGTGTTTGTTGAAAATAATAAAGACTATTTTAAAAGTGGACTAAAAGTGCGTATTAGTGTGCGTAAAGTGGAGAGATATTGCTGGCTGCCGGGTGTCGATGCAGCCTGATGTGGACCTGCCGGGAGCGGTTGGTGTCCTGGAGGATGGAGCCGGGAGATGTTGGCGACCAGGTAGCGTCTGAGAGAATCTCCGCTACCCTGGGTACGCGATGTAACCGGACTCGAAAGAACTTGAGTGTTTAAAATGTTAAGTGTATTAGTGTAGTTAAAAAGTGAAAATGGACACCAATATATAGAAGTAGTAGATAAGTTAAACATAATTTTAATAAGGGCCCAAAGTATATTAGGTATTTTAGCTATTTTACATAATTTTAAACATTTAATTTATAATATATGTATGTGTACTCTAGATATAGTTCACGCCTGTTGACAATTAATCATAATATTTTTTTTATTCACTGAAATTTTGTAATATTTTTTTTTTTATTTTGTAAAACATAGTAAAATTTAATTATAAAGTACTTGAGTAATAGGATTTAAAGGAATGTTCCCATGCCCATATAGGTAAATGATGTCATACCGAGTGTCAGATTGTATTGAAAGAATCGTGTTACTTGACACCGATTAACAATAACAACTGCACTTTGGTTTTGTCTTATGAAATAAATAAATTAGATGAATGAAATTTGATATTAGCTAGGCTTTGGAATGTGTTCATTGTTTGTATAAGTATGTAAGTTTGGTTTTTAGGTAGTTTGGAATAACTTGGTACACAAGTTTTGGCGTATGACTGAGGGCTGATCACCTAAATACAACGTAATATTTTGTAGACCAAGCAATTCAATTAGATTGTGTTTATGGTAGGTTTGATAGCAGAAGGATAAGTTAATAATAAATATAATAGGTTCACATGGTAAGGTACAGTTTAGTGTTCATGTCCTTATTTTGATCATGGTGTAGACAAGCTCTCTCTGTGAAAATTATTGGAGGTTAAAAGAACCTTAAATATTGACACTAAATTTATAATGAATATAGAAGTGAATGATAGTAAGCACAAGTATAATGATGAAATGAAGAATGATGATAAAATATATTGAAATAAATAATTAATGAACAGGTACCGGAGAGTCCTGTATAAATGTAATGTGCTTACATGTGTATAACGTTATTGTGTACCTTACGATGATAGTGAAAAGTTTTAAATAAAGTATATCATGTGTACCTAGTTATAAAAGACATAAAGGTTTAGGATAAAGGAAAATGATTATAATAATATGAAGAATAAATATGTAAGAGGAATAAATTGATAACAGATTTTTACAAAATATTTTATAAAAATTGTCAACAGTGCGAGTAATTTTATATAAATAATATATAATTTTATAGTTGTAGCTAAAAAAAAAATGTATTAGAATATTTTTTTTTTCCAAAAAAACGGGGGAGGTGTAGTGTGTGTGACACCTCGCCCTATAAGTAAGTAGTGTAAGTTAGTTATTAGACACTCAATTAAAGTTATTCATAAGAACAACACGTCTCCCTCATTGCTCCACATTGCATGGCGACCCTGCCAGGATGAAAGGGAATGTATTAATTAGTTCTGATCCCATTCGGTTCCGATTGCTATTTATGTAATTACATTGAATCTTATGGGACAGTGAAATTTATTTGAAACGTTTCTTAATATTGTCTCCCTTTGAATTCTTTCGCATTGTGTGTGTCCATGCTACATAAATGGGCGATCGACCTAATTGCGGATGTCCAATCTTCCGGGCGGGTGGACAATTTCATTTTTACCAACGACGGGGCCACAGCCACATGTGCGTTTAATGGCCGTATCGTTTTAGTATTCAATTTTATGTTATCTGCTTCAGAAGGATGGTGACGAGATAAGCTACAGACCTTCTAAACCTATTAATAAGTGCTCTAAACCGTGTTTTAGAGCACTTATTAATAGGAAATTACCTATTAGCAGTTTATCACGATAAATTATACGTTTTGGGGTCGGAGATAGGCGTGCGGTCACATTTTCTAACAATAACTTACACCTAAACAGTTTGTTTCCTAAGCCTACGAAATACCTAAATTAATTAAAATCTGTGGAATGGGAACAATGAAAAAACTTTAAATGGTGACTTTAATATGGAGAAACTTTTGTAAAAAGTAAGTGGCGAGAAGCCTTTAAGATTTTAAGAACTGAGGATTCATTAATTTTTTATCTGATTTTAAACAATCTTGACCTTAGAATTTTTCTTTTCTTTAGTGTAATTGTGTAGCGGGAGCGACAATCGCAAAGGCGACAAAAGCTATACGATATACATGGCAATTTATGTCTGTATTTAGTTGATGGTATAATATTAAAACTTAATTAAAATTAAACAATAGATAAATTTGAAAAATTGTGTATAATATATAATGTTATAACGAACATTATTTATTTACTGAATGCATAGTCCAAAAAACAATACATTTACTTTTGTTACGTAACTTGTGATCCCTAAAAATTAGATTACCGGTTGCGTTTCTTTCGTAATAACATCAAGCTGACCGTGTTTTGTGGAAGACATTTCGACAATTATATTTGTAGTTTATTGATATCGTGAACATAAACGTTCTTTTGGGAAGTATTGTGATTCAAGGAGTACTAAGAAAACATTTTCAGTGTGGTCTCCTCGATAGGGTCGACTAAGTCTCGCATACCGACGGCCGACGCCACTTTCCGCAATTAAGATAATTAATTAACAAAGTTTTCTGTGACAGTTCCTAAGCTCTACGAAGAAGACGTCTCCGTTACTTGGCGAGCGGTCAATGTTTACTTAAAATATTGCTTTATTACTCTCAACTCTATATTTAGTTACATCTTCACTTCATGCTACGAAATTACAATGTATGCAGGTGATAAAGAACGGGTTGATCAGAGTATCTTCTTGTACAGATTTTGCCATGAATTGGTGATTTTGTTAAAATTTTTATTAGGAAGGTCTCAATGATACCTACCTAATTAGTTTATAACCCACAAATTCCCAATATAGATACCTCAATCCGATAATTATCAGGCTAATAACCAAATTAAGCTCGTTCATGTATACGAGTCTAATGTGTGTATTATGTATGTAGGTATTAACTAGTAATTTACGGTTAGGATAATTACCCACGCAAACACTGTTTATATTTACTCAAGTGTCCGCAGTACAGTAAGTATACAAAACTAATACTTGGGAGAAATCAAGACATACACATCTGAGAGCTTCATGAATATTGTGTTTAATTTTAAGGTTGATTAATTGGTTCATTATAATTGTTTAAGTTTATGACTAGGGCCTTACTTAGAATGCATATTAGTTGGAGAGCAATGGTTAATTTAGTAAATAAAGTAGGTACTTAAAACACGGTATTAGGCAATTTCTCTATTACATGAAACTCATAGCATGATTGATGACAAACGATTCCTTTGAAGGATAAAACTTTAGAGATTATTACTACTTACAAAAAATTTATATTAAAGGAAACTCACTCGACTCAGTGCAGCTGGGTGTGGATAAAGGTTGACCAAACATGATTCTCTTCTGGTGCGGTAATCCCACCTGGTTTCCAAATGTGGGAGTTCCATAGTGTCACATATTGACTGGACGTGGGCGGCAGCTGGCGCAGACTGGGGGCCAAAGATGGCCGCCACGCCACTTCGTAGCAGGTGACACACTACGAACAAGATATCACACGTGCATTTTATGTGAAGAATTTTCCGTTTGTTTTGATACAAATACCACACACTGGTGTATTTGTATCTGTAGCTTTTATTTAAATATATGTTTGCCTACATATGTGCCGACAGACAACAAACTTATTAATAATGTGATAGGATTTGACAGCTGGAGGTGGACTTTTGATACAGCTTATTCACCTCTATTGAATTGTACCCGGTATATGACATACATTAACCTCACCCTCTATTACATGGGACTCCTAACATAAATAATGAAAAGTGGGTGTTACATTGTACAGTGGCATTAAGTGCCGTAATGCCGGATAGAAGGCGAGATGTTATGTATTATTTACTTCTATAGCCAAATTTTCTAATGATTACGTTATTCAGACTGGTTGTTAATTATTTAAAGACCGACGCCGTTAAATATAAGCACCCGCTAGAATCCTACACACATTTTCATTAAATCAACAATGACACCTACACAGACCTGTGAATAATTAAATATACATGTCCTCCAGATAAATGCTAAATATAGCGCTATAATAATGTCTCAGACGTAACGTTTGCATCATTTCAAACTATAATTATATACCTATAATTATAGTATCAAGTACCCTTGTTTAATGTGTATATGACTGGAAAATCTGATATAAGTGCTGAATCAATTGCACACGTTTCATGTAAATCAAGCCAACTTTGATATAGCTCTAGCATGTGAAGTATTTGCTGTAGTAACTTTTCATTAATAAACTTTAGGGCTTACATAGTTCTCTGGCTACCGTAAGCACGGGCCTGCGGACGGCGAGCACGGGTGACTCGCCACCTGACGAACCAGACCCGAGCGTACGAAACGCGTCACGTTCCGCGCGCGCCTCAAAGAGCCATCAGACCACCGCAGATGGAGCCCAACAGGGCTGATGCCGGATACAGAGCCGCAGACGACGGTTTACCGGGCTCCAGCTCGAAGCGCACGAGTAGGAACGGGGTGGTTTTTAGTCAATAAGGGTCTGACACTCTCGCCTCACCCGGAAGGGCCACTGGATGATTTTCCCCCATCAAAAAAAAGCCTTAAATATTGTAAATTCTAATGAATGATATCTCCGTCTGTTACTACAACACGAACAAAAGAACGTGATATTAACAATATGAAACATGTTAGAAAATACTTGTACACGCAATAAAAGAAAAGCATCACGTACGTACGGTCACGTTGTCATAGCCCCGCGTCGTACGTGACCATTGGCCGAAAACTATTACGTCACACGTCCCGTTCAGGGCTGATTGTATCCGTGCCGGATCAGACAACTGGACCCCGTTCACCCGGTTATGTAAAATGGGTAACCAGACGAGGACATTACTTCTCACCTAACTTTATTATACCAAATAATATAAAAGATAGATTTACGTGATATTTCATAAGATTGATTGCAAATGGCTTCTCTGACGTTGGACTCTAAGTTATAGCCTTTTCATTGTGTTCCTTTACTCTATTTATTCGACCTGAAGTACTTATTTTTAGGCTTCGTTGTTATTTCATTTCGTTTTGCGCTCTGAAGAAGCTATAACGAGAAATATATATTCAATAAAAATATCTATTAGATAACTCCTGTCTATTGTATATCTTCAAATTCCATAATATATTAGGTAGGTACACTATAATATCAGTAAAAAATATCACGATATCTTTATGACATGTTTTTCTCCAATTTAAATCAGAATACAAAAAGCTACGTTTAAACGTATGTCCAGCTATTACCGCGAGTCACAAAGTGTTTGGTCAGTTTCTTCCTTCGTCTGTCAAGTGTTATACAGACGGACATCCATCTATCTTCATTAAATAAAGGGTGAGAGGGACATAAAGAAACGTCGGGTGATATATTATGGCGGAAAGATTATGGCTTTCAAGTGACGGAGACGGTGACAGGGCGATAACGTTCGCGCGTTAGTGGCACCCTACTTCGAAATTTGCTTTCCTAACTACGGCCCACCAAGATTTGATGAAACTTATGGATATGAAGTTTGGAGTTTGAAATCACGTAGGAGTTACGGTAGCAATTTGGTAAAATGAGAGAAAATAAATTATATTGATCGGATAAACTTTAGACGCGGCTTTTTGTAAGCGTTTAGGTGAAATATTTAGGTTCGTCAAGTCACGTTTTTATTTGATAGGCGACTATTACAGAATCTTACACAAACTGGATTTAAGCCCATAAAGCTTACGAAGGAAATGTAGCAGGTGTCGGTGACATTAACCTGAGGCAATAAAGGATGAAATAAAAAATATTTTTATCCTTTTTGTTGTTTTTACTCGTTATTTTTTTTTGAGATTATCTCTTATATCCTAATTAATAATATATGAAAGTACGTACCTCGTTTGGAAGCATGGAAGCTGTCTTGTGGCGAGATGGTCTCTACTTGCGCCAATAGCTTAGCTCTGGGTAACACTGCCCTGTCCGCATTCACTCGCTCCACTGCGTACCGAAACGCGACCTCCTGCTTGTCATCTTCCGGGTGGAAAAGTCCACCTGTGATCAAAAGAACAATTTTAATCTCCAAATGTAATTGTTCTACCTTTTTGCTTATCAAAAATGTTGATGATATGGATGTAAAGACACGTTTTATGAATAGAAAATGATTTTGTTACTCTGTGATTCGTGGCTACAAGGTTTTAATTATTTGTGTTCATATTTCAATTCTTCAGTTGCAGTTGTGTACAGTTGTACACATCAGTTTTCTAAACATAAATCTAGGATGCTAGTTTTACGAAACGTCAGACATACAAGATAGGAAAACATGCTATAACCGCTAGGTTATAGCATGTTTTCAGATGAATTGAAATTGGTAAGGAATTATTATTTCGATCACCGAGACTAAATTTCGAATTAATTTTTAAGTAACAATTCGTATGATTCGACGAAGAACTTTTATACAAAAATGTCTGGAATGGATAACAATAAATCATGTTATGGAGAATTAGACATTATACTGTGTATGAATTACAAATCGTTGAATCAAACATTGTTAAAATGAAATCCTCCCCAATGATCTCAAGATCCAATTATACTCAAATGATTATTCTAAAAGCAGTATTAATATAAATTTTTGCAATACCACTCGCGATTAAACATAAATCAACATTAAATTCAGGTTTCACTGTAATTAATTCATTATTATAATTGAGTTGGTAATTTAATCCTCACCTATTCGGATGGTGTCAGGCAGGGCTGATAGATGTCCGAAGAATAAAATAAGGAATATTGCGTTCGCCCCTCTCATTCTGTAACAAAGAGTAATGACGTCATTTTTATATACTATGGGATGGATAGATCTAAACATATTATTCAAGATCACACTAAAAAACTTTGGTTAAGTAGGTGGTTGAGAAAGTAGTACAATATCATTTACATGTATGACAAAAGAGAGTATGAAAATTAAAAATCTAATTAGTCCGTCTGTTATTTTGCCGTATTAGAAAACAATACTTAAAAACACGAATCAAAGTTTAGGAATGGAAGTACAAATCGTACACAAAAGTTACGTCAAGCGATATTTCAAAACAATATATCGTCGAACGTATTCGTTTCCGTAAGAAAATAAAAAATACGTGTCTAATGTTTTCAAATAATCTACCAGACGAACTTTGAAATAAAAATTTGGTGAAGTTATTTTATACACATATTTTGTCCTTCTTACTTCACAAAAATGAAATAAATATACACAATTGAATACAGATATTCAGAAGTGATGAGCATTTTAAACGTTTAAGTGATTAATTTTTTTATAGACATGATGCATGAATGAACTTTTTCATCTTTAGCTCCTAGATGCGTGTACAATAATAAAATAATAATATATGTATTCACAAACAAACACGTTTAAATGCCAAATTAAAATATTATAATTACAAATTATAGCACTTAAAATGATCGTCGCGTCGTTTGTATAAAATATTTACTTTACGTAAATGTCAACAAACTGATATCCACTTTTCAATTAGCAATTATTTTGGCCATTGTCAGTCCCAGCGAGACCGAGGGCCTATTGTTAGTTAGTTTATATAACGTTACGTACCTGAATAAATATAGAAAACAGTTGCCTGTCACGTAAATAGCCTAGACAAAGAAGGTTTCACGACACTTTACGAAATGTACCTCATTATCTAAAGTATAAAATAAAAGCTAAATAAATTATTTGTGCGAAAGCTGAGTTTGTTACTCGTTGGTTGTCATACTTACGTTCTACATCGTATACAAGGCAAGCTGTTTGTTTACTAAATGATAAAACTTGAATGAAATAGGTAATTTTATACGAATTATTACGCCATTTCCCTAAAGAGAAGCGAAGAATTTACTTATGCTGTACTTGCACTTGTTATCAAGTCCTTTTTAAGAACGGAAACTTATTACTAAACATCAGAAAAAAAATTTGAAATAACTCGCAAAAATAGAAAATGGACTCCAATATTGTTAAATGGATTTTCCTTGACTAAAACACCGTAAAACAATCGACTTCTCTTACTCCTACAGGTGATTGAAAGAGGCATCTTCGGCAAATCTACTCCCATCAATCCTCTGTAAATGGGCAAACCATCGTAACATTGGTTCTTCTCAATCTTTGTCACTATATGTTCTTTCTGCCTATATCTCTGTTTAATCAAGCATTTCTGCACTGTGGCAATCTTTTGTCTACAACGTTAATCCTACTTTCATGTCTCTTCTGGTCAGCGGCATAGGCAAACCCCAAGGCGTTTGATAACCCTAATGTATAATCATCCGAGTGAAAAACTCCAATCAACAACTGTTATGTTTAGGTAATTATTATATTTCCATGGAACTCACATATTTTAAGGAATATGAACAAAGGTTCATATGTTTATATGTGAGCTTAATTTTTTATTTTGTCTGTCGAAAACTAGGCTTGATCTCATCTATAACTTTCAATATGCAGGCAATATTCGCCAACACGAAGAGTAGTTTAACCCAAATAGACATCGGAACTCGTTATCTAGAACTTTTAAATTGGCATCCGTCTGTCTGATGCTAAAATATGCAAGCCTTAAAACGTCTCTGTCCTATATACAAAGGTCACGGCACTTAGTGGAGTTATTACAAGATAAGTGGAGTCTAGTTTCGAATGCTAGTGATATTGTTGATGTAGTTACTTGGTACACTTCGCAGCTAAACTAGTTACTACATAACAGGTATTTTAACACACTGTTATTCCCATTACGTTCTACAGCTCTCACTTCTGAAAATGTAGATTGATTTTGCGAAATAGTTTTCAGAGAAGAGTTTAAAGAATAGTGTTGGTAAAGTGTGTTAACATAGTGAGTGGAATTCAACCATCAATAAAAGGAGATAATAAAATATCGCTATAGCTGTACGTAATCTCATTCATCATTCATCATGCAGTAAAATTTATACCTTATTTACGCTTGTTATAGAACTTAAAATACAGTACTACATCATTTACCCGACATATACCTAATGAGACTTTGTAACATACTCCACCCTGGATCACTGTTTTCCAAAATATAAGCTTATAGCTTAGTTTGGAAAACAATACATTATCGGTATCCTTCGTAATTCAAACTCTGTGAATGTAATATTGTGAACTTTTGTGACAATAAACAATTTATTTATGTATTTATCTTATACTTTATTATATAAAGCGGAAGAGTTTATTTTTTTCTTTGTTTGTTTGAACGCGCTAATCTCCGTAACTACAAGTCTGATTTGAATAATTCTATTTGTGTTGGATAGCGTATTTATCGAGGATGGCTATAGGCTATAAAACATCACGCTACGACCAATACGCTGAGCAGAGCGTGTAAGTAGTTTGTTTACAATATATCCCTGGTTCTAGGTTCACAAGACTACATTTACACATTAATGCAGCTTGTCACAATGAGTTCACAGACAGACTATTAATGTACATTTAATGGATATTGTGTGAGGTAATAAATATCCAAGAATATACCCTTTAATTTTTTACAGCATCTGTACTCTGTCCGTGTCTAACTATTTCTAGCTGACGTTATATAAGCTTGCTGAAGTCGGTAAATGAGTGGCCTTTCTCATTATTCTGAAATTCCTTCGTGCCTATAAGAATACCTCGAAACTCGTCGGTTTCGGTTATCAAATAAACATTTACGACAAACATTAAGGTTGGGTAGAAGCCTAAAAGTGAGACAACGGGTACAACCAAGATCAAGATTAGTTGCTCCAAATAAAACCAAAATAGTTTCAGCTGAAAGTTGTTTTGGGTATACTGCTGGACTTACTCGGTTAGGGAAAGGCTAGATCAATACTTGAGTTTGCAAATAATTCTTCTTTGATTTTTATTAATACGTATACTGTGTCTGATAGACTTACACCTAGGTGTTTCATCTTTGCCTTTACCTTTCACTTTCACAAACATTTAATGAACCTCATTATAATTATTTACTCTGAACTAGACGGTGCTTAATGTTAAATGAATACTCCTAAAATAAATGTTTGGAAAATAATAAAGCTATTTGATCTGAAATATTCAGTTTACAAAATGTGAAAATTTTCGAAACAGGTCCCTACTTTTTTGTAGCTTAAACGCGCGGTTGGCCATTTAAAAAAAAACGATGGCTATGCGTGGATTTTTTTGGATTGATGATTTTGGGACTGGAGTGCTTTATGATATACTGCCGTACAGTTAACACATGGACTATATTTGAGTGTTTATTTCTTGCTCGAAACCAACAGAAATATTTACTAGCATTTCAGTTTATGCTGGTTGAAATTTTGCTACTAAAACTGAAGAGGTTGATACTCAAATGCCCTCAATTTTAGCTCATTTGCATGTACCAACAATTTGACGTCACGAACCCTTAGTATTGTTCAGCTTCATATCTAATGCGTTATGAAACGAGGCATATAAGAGCTCATTGCGGAGGATATGAAATCATAATGGCGGAGGAGTTATCCTTTTTGTTGTTACGCAAATTAACACTAGACCAAGAGCTGCTGTATGTCTGAGGGATCTGGGCGTTAAACGTTGTGTAATTCCTTTTATATCTTGAGTTTATAGCATATTCTCAAATACAGGCTGCAATCATTGAGAACATAATGATATTTAGTACCGATATAATAGGAACAACATTATTACATTAGGGAAGAAAGTTCTCAAATGTAAGTAGTTCTTTATTCACATTGTTACTGGACATTGTCTCTAACGGTCAATAAAGACGAGACGTAGTAACAATAGCAAACTATACGTGTTTGTCTGAATAGATCTATTATTTTGTTAATATTCTTTTTATTTGACCTTTAGTCAGAAAGTATCAAATAAATAAATTTTTTTAAATAGATTTTTAATAGGTACAGCGAAAATAATTACGGTTTCCAAGAAGCATTGATAGAAGTTACTAAATTACGGGACATAAAACAGGTACTAGTACAAGTAATTTTGTGGTCTGGCTACTGAAATTTGAGAGGTGATTTAAATAAAAATAAATAGTTTTCGTAGAAATAGGCATCAAAGCTAATTAGTTGTACCTTTGAGTAGTAATAAAATAAGTAGGTTTAACACTTATTCGTTTTCCCCGAAGGAGAGGTAACGATCATTATAAAAAGTATCTATATTGAGTGTATAGCTTTACCAAGAATTTTAATGTGATAGCTCTGTTACCGTTCTTCTATAGATTGGACTTTTGTATCGAGACTCTGTAGTACTCACTGACTTCGAAGTTTTGAAGGGGGCATGAATAATTCAGTACCCGATCTCATATTTTAAATGTGGACTTTACATACATGTCGTAATAATAAATTACTGAAATAGTTTAAACCTATGAATAGTTGTTTGTGTGCTTTTTACCAGTAGATAGAATAAGTGCCTCTTTGGCCGAGTGGTCGCAAGTCTAGGGTTCGATTCAAGGGTCGGGCAGAGTATTATTGAGTTTTTAAAAAAAATCTCAGTAGTAGCACGGAGTCTGGATTGTGCCCGGTATATGGCAATAGGCTCAGCCACTAACTCATAACATAAAAAGTGAAAAGTGGATGTTACTTCTATATGCACCTCTGCCTACCCCTTCGGGGATAAAAGGCGTGATGTTATATTATGTTATCTATAGAATAAGTGTTGAGAAAAGTGACGATTAGCATATATCTGATGAAACTGCGTGCGGGAACCTATCTATGGTTTAAGACAATATTGGGTTTACAAACAAAACCGTAGGAATAATCGTGCGATGTATTCTACTTCTAATCGATTTTTGCATAGAACAAGAAAAAAAAATTAGAACGGATAGACCCAAATCACTGAGGATTAACAGGAAAGGGATAGTTTTTAGTCAATAAGGGTCTGAAACACCCTCGCGCCTCACTCAAGGCGGGAGAAGTCATTAGATGATCTTTCCCCCCCCTTATAAAAGCCACCAAGGTATCACGTCCTTCCATGACATAATGACAACTGTGACAAGTAACAAACACAAATTGTCTAGCGGTTCGTTGACGTTCGATTACAATCCCGTAAAGGTATACGTAGCTGTATGATGTACAACTACAATGACTATTGGATAGCATTCCTAAAGCTTTTTTAATACTATCTACTAATATGCAGGTCATTTTCCTTTAACGATGGCTGATAGCTTCATATATTAAACGCCTCACCTTCGCCTACTACGTCATTTCAATTCTTCAAAACCGTCTATGATTCATCAATTGGATCTTTGTCATAGTAACAACAAACTCTTAATAACAATGATAAAATAATAAGAATCAAGACTTATCGTTAAATCTCTAATCTCTCTCTCTTTAATCTCTCTTTTCTAAACCTCCCTGTGACAGCTTCTGAAATAGAGACAAATTGAACACTACTTATATACCTAGTTGGACGCCTTAATCAGTTTAGTAGCTCCAGGAAAAGTCACATTTTATATTATTTTTGATACCCCCAAACAAAAAGATATTCTTATTGTTATTATGTATTTATAGTTGGTGTTTCTTCTTATATTCCAATCATAACTTTCAACCAGTGTTCTTATAAAGGTTGAGAAATTACGGCACTATGAACAACCCTATGTCCTAATGGAGACAATCTTGAATTTACTTCTGTGGTACATGAATGAATTCATTCATAACCTACTCTTCCTTATTTAGTCAACCCAGTCATTTAACCGAATTCTCTTACTACCTTTTCTTTCTTAGAAAAAAGTAATTGTAGATATATAAATGTATAAAGTATGCTAATCTGTTCTCTTGCAGATCATTAAACTGACCTCATTATGAAATTATATGCAGGGCAGTATTTACGTTTTCAGCTAGAAAGCCCACAAGGAAAATTCAAATGGGTATGAAACAAGCCACGTCGAAATGATAATAGACTCGGATTAGTATCTTATGAAGAACTAGCCGCCGTTTGTGGTTTCACCCGCGTTACGGAAATAAAAGGTAGCCTATGTATTATTGCTAGCTGTTATCTAACTCTTTGTGTTTAATTTTATTCAGATCCATCCAGTACTTTTTGATTGAAAGTATAACAAACATATAAACAAACAAACATTCATACATACACACATCTACACAAACGTAGTGAGTGGTAGAAATATCTACCTCTAATGTTATATTATGTTTATATGTATATTATTTCTACGCAAGGCTTTATGAATGAAAACGTATAATGAGACGGCGAAAAACAAAGAAAATTCACAAAACGATAGCGTTTGAATTATTTATTTTTTCTCTTCAATTCTTGTTACGACATGATTTGCTAACGCCAGACGTCAGGCTTGTCACATTTTGACACGGAGACAGGTTTCTTGCTATTTATTTGATTAAACATGCTCATGTATGTATCTGACACGTACGTCACTTTCATGCAAGAAATAAACAACTTATTTCATGATAGATTTCAGTAGACACATTCTACACAAAGGAAATTCATTTTTAAGAAATTAGAATTGTCTTATTTACCTATTTTCTTTGTTTTTGTGTCATATAGACTATTATAGACCCGTATAACTCGTATAGGCATGAATATCGTAATTTTTTAAATAAATTATTATAATTTATCAAAATTACCATAACAATTTGGTTTGAGTAAAAGTAATGCAATATGCCGAATGTTATTAGCAATTCAAATTGGTTCTTTACCATTTTATCATAGTTAATAGAAATATAAGTACGGCACTTACCTGTAAAACTACTTAATGTCACTCACAAACGTTACACCTGTTATGTACACATCGTCACCAATTAATTTACTACTACACGAATACACACAAACCATTCACTGACACCAACCACAGATCAAAATTTTACATTGTAATTGGCGCTACAGTACGTTAAGTGGTAACTATCAATTGTTTCGTTTTGAGCATAGGATTCGTTTGGCACGTTATTCTTCTTGATTAATCGGATAGGTATCGATTTGTATTCGAGAAAGGAATCGAGTTATGTGTGTAATTAGGCCGATAGAGCGTGCGGCGTCCGCCCGCGCCCGTGGCGTCGTCGAGCTGACGGCTGCGGGCAGGAACGCAGAAGCCTTAACGCGCCTGCGTGCCGACACCCTGCTGATAGTCGCGCATCCACTTAGATTGTTTACTAAATCTAAATTCGTTTTAATTCATCGTGTATTGCTGCATTATTTTAGCTCATAATTTTAATAATTTTCTTTTGACTGCTATCCAGCCACGTGCTTTTAAATGGTTAAGTAACGAGAAAAATATATTGAAAATATATTAAGAATGAAAAATATATTAAGAATTTAAAAGATTGTATTGAGCATAAAAACGTTAAAAGAGCTTTTATATTTTTACAAGTACCTACGCTTTACAAATTAATGTCACCTACTCATGCCATACAAATACAAAATAAGAAACAAATCTTTCATCATAAATTAAATAGATCACAAGCAAAACAGCAAAACTAAAAAAATACCAACAGGAAAATCAGCATTTAAAATGAGTAGATTGAAACAAACATTAGCTGGAAGGTCTGGTCGGAGTCCGTCTGTCTCGCACGCATCTCCCCATCGTCTGTTGAGCTTGCGTCGAGTCGAGGATTCGCATCATCAACGTAAATTGTCTTTTCATTATTCACACCGCGATTATTTCGCCCTTTGACAGTAGACAATAATATAAGTGTGTGCACGCACAAGAATGAATGCCATGATTCCACTATAATTTAGACCTTATAACTGAGACCTTAAAACCGAGTTAAGAAAATATTAAAAGTAATTTCAGAATCACGCCTGTTATGTTGAGTTCAATAAATATGGTCATATTGAAGGATTGTTCTCTGAATAAAGAACTTCAAGTATTGGAGGATGGAGAGCAGTATTCTGTAAATATTTGGTGGCTTAATTGTGATTATGACTAACTCTATCTTAGGAGGGAATAATGGAAATATGGTTTAACTTTTTTTTTAACATTAATGATAAAGATTGTAGCTACTCAAAAATCTAACTCCTGGTCTCGTCTGCAAACATTGAACAATGTAATTATGACATAACCTAACATAATAACACGCCTTTTATCCCCGAAGGGGTAGGCAGAGGTGTGCATTATGCCACTGTACAATGTAACACCCACTTTTCACTATTTACCTTATGAGTCCCATGTAATAGGGGCTGAGCCTATTGCCATATACCGGGCACAATTCCAGACTCCGTGCTACTACTGTGAATTATTTTGAAAAACCTAGTAATACTTTGCCCGACCCGAGAATCGAACCCGAGACCCCTTGCCCGGCAGTCGCACACACGAGCGATTCAATTTTGACTAAAAATCTTAGGTGTCTGCCACTGCAAGATTCCCTCTAAAAATTTAATCGCTCTCGTTATTAGTTATCGAGATAATACAAGTGTCCGGCGTTAGGTGCCGTTTGGCGTTAAGGGACTTTTCCCTATTAGTCTTGTAGGATATTCCTTTGAAGTGACAATTCACACGTTGGTAATGGTCCAACTAGATTTTAACTGCATGCTGGGCGCGATGGCTGGGCAACTGGTTGTCGCGCAACGTGTGGCGGGTTCGATTCCCGCACGGAACCACTTTCTGTGTAATCCACAAATTATTGTATTGTTTCTGGGTGTCATGTGCATGTCAACCTGTTTGTTTGTTAACGCACCCACGAGACAGGAGAAAATGTAGTCCATCTATCTAGGAGTACCAATAGAGTGTAGGGCAACTTGTAAAAAAATATACATACTTATTGCTAGAGGTTTAGGCATCCAACGTCATTATTTTAATAGTTTCATGTCAAGAACTTGCGTCGTATTGTTTATTTATTACCTGCATGATAATATTTAAAGAAAAACATACATTATTTATGAAAAGGTATAAAGGCTTCTTGAATGTTATTACTAAAACAGTGAGACAGAATTGGCAGCATTGATGTATTCATATATCATTCATAATCCCTATTCATTCTAAACATTATCAAGTTATGTGTAACTGCTAGTTTACTTAAACAAATTTTGATAAATTTATAGTAAAGATACTATTTACAATCCTTAAAGTGCTTTTAAGAGGAACAAATTGTTTTCGTAAAATATTTGTTCCAAAATTTTGAACAGTTGTAATTATTAGTTATATTAGGTTTAAAAAAGGTGATGGACACAAGTCCTGTAGCTGTCATTTCCGTGTTGGAGACCAGCCAATGTAAACAACATTACATAGTGGCACAACGTTTACACTAAAAACATAGTCTACCAAACGTAGCCTAAGCCCCCAAAGTTTAGATATTATTAGAAGACAAAATAACATTACAGTGTGAAGACGTGACAAATTCGCAAAGGTTTTATTATTAGATTTCCTGAAAAAGCGGAAAACTTTACGTCCTTCTCGTGTTGGATATTTTGAGAAAAAAGGTCGAAAAGTGGATGAGGCTAAAAATAATTAAGTAAATCGAATTGGATCTTAAAATATTTTTATGACATTCCTCAACTTAAGAGCGAAAGGTTAACAAAACATAACGGCTCAGATACTAATAAAGGTATTGTTGTGCGCCTGGAATCTGAAAATAATTTTCTACACTACACTACAAGTTTGTGTAAATGTACAATCATGCATAGAAGTACGTCAATAGAAGTAACATTAATATCAGTTTACAAAATTATATACTTATGTTTAAACATATTTACAAACTACCATAACATTGGTATTTCTCAGTTTGAGGTAACGGCCAGTATCCAATGAGAATGCAACCGTGAAAGTATGCTTTTAGTGAGACTTTTCAAATAACACCACGAGAGTCCTCAACTTGCCCGACAAGTTGAGTACCTTCCAATCCAACTCTGGCTCTTGTCCAAGAGATAAAAGTCAAGTCAACCGCGGCAAACGTACACAGCATAGCATTTTATCAATTTTCTTGCCACGATTGATATTAATCATCCGTGCAAGATTACCTACTTTGGTTCGATCATTAATATTTTCACTCAATTTTCGTTCACTGGAAATGATTTTTCTCTACCAACTTGTGCTACAGGGGATAACTGGAGCCAGTGACTAACGTATACGGAGATGGGAATAAATAACCAAAATTGACTTGGAATTGGCACGACATCCGCCGTCGGATATTGTATAAACCGAAATCCAAAGAGTTCGCAAGTAGGTCTTCAGGTTGCAAGAATTCTAGGTTTGTTATACCTATGTGTTTATTTTCATTCATATTGTATAAGTTTGGAAAGGCAGCAAGAGTTTCGAGCATTTAAAAAGTACTACGGGAACAGAATAGCGTAGCAGGAGTTACATTTCGAGAGGCACACAAGCAAGTTACCAGCCGTGACTGTATTTTAAAGAGAGCTATTGAAAAAGATACCTGAACGTTGCTTTTGTCATTTTTACGATGATTTAAAGTTGGTTGATCACTCCTATTTCATTTGTCTTTGTTTTGTGTAATAGTACCAATATCATTTAGAGGTACATTTTGTCAATAGCGCATGGTCTCATTCATGTAATAGTAAATAGTTTTTCATTCAGGAACACAAATATTGTGGAGAATAATTGTTCATTTTCGTTTATTTTTTTTATGGAATTTTGAAGACCGACTGAAGCTGTTCAGTACTTTTGTAAAATGGTATAACAGTCTGTGAAAGTAGAAGCTATAATTGCATGTATGTACTTGACTTTAGTTAAACGTGTTTGTGAATGTGTAGAGTAAAATACACACAGTTAATTTCGAGAGAATATCTCGGTGGAGCATATCTAATAACGTGCTAACTCGTAAACAGGAAGACTGCACTGTGGTTTGCATTGTCTCCGTGGTCAAAGTTACGATCGCGCAATGCGCCTCCCTTTGTTTTGAATTTGCTTTTATTTTTACTCCACGGTGGGCAAGATTAGCAAGTTATCCTGAACAAAACTTAATCTAGCTGAGCCTCGCTTACAGATAGTTTATTTATGACTATTACAGTAGGATAGTCAGCCTTCCGGCACGAGTTTTGGTGTTTTCCGGCTTAACTCATCTAGGATGAAAATATCTAATTAATTAGTAATTAGGTATTACGTAGGTTTTGGTAGGTTACAAAGTTTTCAAGGCTGATATATAATGATAACTTTATTCTTCGTTATCCTATTAACAGACGCAAATTACAAGAATTTTGATGACATTTTTCGCAAATATTGAGAAATTCATATTTTATAAATCTCACTCAAAACATAAACTCAATGGTTCATGCCCAGCATGAAAACTCGTAACGACTACAACACCAAAACTTTTTTCATAACTAAACAATAATTCTCCCAACAAAAAATTGTTGCTATCACAGCACAACGGTAGCCAGAGTTGTTAAATGCGTTAAACGTCATAGCCTTGGACGGCATTCGAGAGAACTGTTATTGGCATCTAAAATTGAAATGAACCATTAAGTGGGATGCTGTTTCTCGATCAGGAATTCAATTACCAACGTAATGGTTATGTGAATACATCGGCAAGTTATCGATACTACTGGACAGATAGAGATAGAGTTAAATGGTGAACATATTTGTCACCGCCACCTCTCTTCCCGCGGGTGTCGTAGCAGCTGACTGAAGTTCATCGTACACTTAATCGGCACGGCTCCAACCCAGCAATTCGAATTCAAATCGTATGATATATTTTATAATGTCAATATAAAAAGCTATAAGCGAAAGGCCCGCGCGCCGCCTGCGTTCTTTACAATGTTTTTAATTGTATTTTTTCCAAACCAAAAACGCCGTGCTGGAGACGTGCCGGAGTCGTGTCGGAGTCGTGCCGGAGACATGCCGGAACTGTGCTGAGGAATATTTGATAGAAACTGGACAGCCGTTTCTGATTTTAAACTTCTATATCCAATCCTCCCGCGACGGGTGGAAATTATGACCAACCTTCTTATACAGACGCTTCTAGGCCAACAATGGAATATTAATTATCTATTTCTTACTACTTGTCGAATATGAAATGCTTGTGGATACTTTTTGTTAGTGGGTGTGTTACGTCCCCATTAAAAATGTAGGTGAATGGAAACTTCAAAT